CCCCGGATGGGAGCCAAGGGGTCCAATCGTTCCTCTTCCACCTCCTGGAAAAGCCCAAGTGTGGGTTGGCGGCTGAATCTTGGTCAACTGGATCCTCTTTTTTAGAACTTTGACTCTTGATCAAATGATACTTTGACTCTTGAGCAAAAGTAAGGAAATGTTTGAAGTTCGAAGGTGTTACGGGACAATGAAAAGCTAGGAAAATTCTGGGACAAGTGGAACAGGGAAACTGAGGCAGGAAAATTAAACAAAGCAGAAAAGCTTTGCAGGCAGCTTGCAACAGTCTTTTTTTTTTAAGACTTCTTGTTTTCTTTTAGTTTATCGTTGAAAGTATTACAGATGGCCCCCCCCCTTTCCCCTCATTGATGCCTTTCACCTGGCATCCATCCCTGCTCCCCCCGGGCCTTCTCCACCCTATTGTCTGTGTCCTTGGGTTATGCATATATGCATGTAAGTTATTTGAGAACAAAGAGCTAAAATCTCTCCTCACAAAAGAATGCAGGAGAGGAGGGGGAAGGGAGAGGGGTCAACCTCACTCACCAGAGACCACTTAGTGCAAATCAGCAGCAGGGAGGAGAGGGAAAGGACAGTCTGTTTAAACAGTGTTCATCCATTCCTTTGTGGATGCTCATTTGGGTTGTTTCCACATTTTCTATTGTGTATAATTCTGTTATGAACATTTCTGTGCAACTTAAAAAATCTGGTTTTTGAAATTGTTAAAATTATACCATGGGAAAAGGAAGAATATAGAATGCAAGTCCTTACCGCAGCCCACCCCCACGAGGACCTGCCCCCCGATAGGGGCACCCTCACTGCTGGGACAGGGCGTCGTCTCGGTAGGTGCCTTTCCTTCCTTCCTAACGGGCACGTGAGGTGCACCATTAGCACTTTCTCATCCACACAGAGAGAAGCCTGCGCCGGCAAGGAGGCAGAAGGGAAAGTGGGTCGGAAGCCTGCCATCGGGCCAGGCCCGGTAAGGTAACATTTCCCTGGACTGGAGATGAAGTACAGATGGAGCGAGGCGGGGTCTGGGCTTAGCCTTTTCTGTTGGCCTTTGAGAATTCTACTGGGGCTAAACCACCAGAAGTTTCTGTTTGGTTTCATTTTGATTTGTTTTAAAAGTCAACCATATGCCACTGCCTCAAATCAGCCAGTCCCCAGAGGTGACAAGAGAATGTTTATCCATTCCACAGGGTGGTATTGGCCCACGATGGAGGAATGTAGCTGGTTCTTTATCTGTGACAGTGTCTTTGGGGAGATGTCGGATGCTTCTTGCAAAAATGATCACTTCTGTATTGGAAAAATCCCTTACATCAGCCTTGCTGCAAGTTTATGAAGCTACTCTTTTCCAACTGTGCGACTGTCATAATCACCAAAAATGAGTTTTGAAGGAAAGACACTAAAACTCCTTGGAAATACTGGTGTGCGGACCAGCTAAAACAACTGTCCTTCAGGCTACGCTGAGGGACTAGAAACTTTTTATTGTGTATGGGTCATGATCTATTTCTTAAATGTACCTGATAAAATTCATGAGGAGTTTGTAAAAAAAATTTATAGATTCTTATCCCCTAATTTGGTGATTGGTTTTGTAAGTCTTCAGAGAGTGGGGATATTGCCCCCTTAACAATTACCCCAGGTGGTTGACCTGGTAATGTGAGAGTGGAGCCTCCATGCTCTCAGAGCTCTGCTCTGCCAAACAAGGGAGCCCCAAACTATGTTACTGCAAGACATAATTAAATGTTTTCTTCCTGACATTGAAGGACAACAATTTCTTGATAACTGAATTTCCTTGATCAAGAAAACCCTTGATATCAGAGGAAAGAGGCAGTTTTCAACAGTAAATGAAACAAACCCAAACCTCTTTTTGATCACAGAAATAACCAGCACAGCATTTTAAATATGAATTTATGAAGTGCACACACACACACACACACACACACACCCACCTGTCATTTCAGCTGTTGAGCTTATAGGACCTCATTTACAGGTAGTGTGAACTCTGCCACTTAGGAAAAGAGGAAGGGGTGAAGGAATTGCCCCAACATTTGGAAAAGAAAATCCTGCTGTGGGAATGTAGAGGTGTTGCTTTTCCCCATATTTCCATTTCTCAAAGAGAATAGCCCTGAAGCTCCTGAAAACTGGCTACAATTTGAGGATTACAATAGGAGGTTAAAAGTGAAAAGGCACATTACTGATCTCAGGTCGTATAAAAAGCAATCAGCAGAACCCGGCAGAAACAGAGACATGTTACCCTTTATGTGCGTGTAAAAGTAGGGTTTCCTACAAGAGCATTCCAGTCCTCTTATCCCTGCCTTCATTTTAGAATGGCTCTGTTCTTTCCTTGTAAACCCTGCACAGTAAGGTTTCACCTTTGTTTCTTGCCACGCTTTTGACTATTGCCTCCATCGGATCTGGGCAGAGCTGCGCTCTGGCCGGACAGGACACTCCGGGAGCCTGGTTCCTCTTCGCACTGGCCACACTCTTCTGGGCTGTCGCCTTTGGCCACTGCAGGGATGCTGTGTGACCACTTTCCCTCCGGAGACAAGGTGTATTGTTCACGTTTTCTAGAGGTACAGCACAAGTGTTAGGACAGACACAAAGGCAGGTCACAAAATCTGCACAAAAACTAGATAAAATAAGAAATAAGTCAGAATAAAAAGAAGCAACAGCCAAGGTGAGATTTAAAGGTGCAAATAAGGGCAATTATATCTTTAAGGGATGGCATAGCTTGTTCTTTTCAACAGAGATTTTTCAGTTTCTCATCAGGCAGGCAATATGACCATAATCATTCAAAACCGATGTCATAGATGAGGGAATTTTAATCTCTCCACATTTGCTTTTATAGTTCTTTTGCCTACCATGTACTTATGGTCATTTCAAAACTCCTCTCTGAATGCTCAGGGTCTGATTTTTAACATCACCCTCGCCACTGTGAAAGCTGGCGTAAGCGGAGCCATTTTAAACTGGAGGAGAGGGCACTGCTTGTCTTGTTTCTTGAACCTTCGACTGGGTCAAACCTCTAGACTGAGCTTAACCTCAATTTGTTTTAAAATGGTTTATAAAGTCAGCAGGAAAGGGAACATCCTGATCATAAGAAATTTTATTCTTTCTGAAGACAGAATAGGTAACCAATCATGCATAGCCAAGAGTAGCTCAGTTTGTCAGCACCAACAGGGATTTTTTTTTTTTCTTCTTTTCACGTAGTTATTCCTTTCTTTCCCTCCTTGCTTTCACCCTATAATCAGGACACAATCCAGGCTTCTGACCCAATCTGTGCTCCTGAATTGCAATTTTTTGGTCCCAAATAAACACTTTGCCTCTTGAATGGGGGTCTTGTTTTTATAGGTCAACACCATGAGTCTTCATACATCCCAGCCAGAAGGCTCCCATCTCACCTTTACTTCTCTAGCAGTTTTGCCACCCAGACGCCATGGATCTTCTGTTGTCTCATATGAATGTTCATAACCTTTTGTGCCACTCACACACTTTGGTAGGTGCCTGGAACATATTAGGTACTCAGCAAATATCTGTAAAAATGAAAGGCAATGCAATAATTTATATAAGGTTATCTGTGTTGTCCCAGCAGACAGTACCCCTTGAATGTTACCAATTATTAATGTAATAAACAATTAAAAACAGTCTATGTATTTTTTTTGTGCATAATTCCATGGTTTTGCACTTAATTCTGGTCTATCCACACCTTTTTCAAAAACCATGTGAATCAGTCCCAGAGTCAATATTTAATTATCTTTTCTAGAAAGTACCAGCAAATTTCACAAAGAGGTTCAATTTCTACTTTCAGATTATGCATTTTATAGCCAAAGATTGCATGTGTGCAAACACAAAGATGACATAAAACAAACTAATATGCCTTTATATCTTACTGCAGATGTGTTCTCTCCCTTCCAAGTCAATAATGTGGATCAGTGAGTCACCCTTGCTTCCCCAGAACTTTACACACAAGCACCAATTGCTCAGCACTCTCAAGTCTCTCGAGTTGAAGGCACTGATACAATAGGTCAGACCTGGGTGGGTTTCAGAGAAGCTACTGAAAATGCGTCATCAAAAAGCAGAGAACAGCCCTGCTCAGTCTGGCTCAGTTGGCTGGGCACTGTCCTGTGCACCAAAAGGCAGCTGGTTCGATTCCGGGTCAGGACACATGCCCGAGTTGCATGCTTGACCCCCAGGAGGAGGCGTGCAGGAGGCAGCTGATTGCTCTCACATTGACGCTTCTCTCTCTCTTCTTCTCTCTTTCATTCCCTCTCTTTCTCAAATCAACGTTAAAAAAGAAAGCAGAAAGCAGATAGTCTCCCTGCTTTTAGGACAGCTAGTAAGGAGACTTGAGATTCAGATGGAGGCCCATCTGCCTCCACATCTTACGCTTTTTCTCTCTACAGCATCTTGTCTCTCTGTCAGGCTGCATTTGCATTCTTGATTGGGACCAGAGCCCTGATCAGAAAAATTTGCTAAAGAAAGCGAATTCTATTAATATTTTAAAAGTTAGGCGAGAAAGAATCTTATACAATGATCACCAAACTTGGTTTTCATGACCAATGTTGAAATATAATCAGATTTAGTCATTAACTCAGAAATATATTAATCAAGACCAGATCTCAAAATTTGCACATGGCCTTGTGCTTAATGAATCACCAAGGTGTTCATCTCAGGACTCTCCAAAGATGAGGCAAATGTGAGAAGAATGCAATCACTATTGGAGCTAAAAAACGAAATATGATGGGCACATGCTAAAAACATTTCTTTTTCACAGGAGACGGAGCTTCCACAAACAGGATTTGTCACCTCCCACACTCTTCTGAAAGCCATTCAAGATGAATAATTTTACAAACAGATCTTAAAAGGCTCTGATTTCTTAGCTCTACATTCAAATCTGCAAAGCAAGGGCAGATTTTGGAGTCACGTCAAAGCAAATTCAAATTGGGCTCTACCCCTGACCCTCCCCCCAGCCAACCAGTCTCCAACAGCTTGGCAGCCTGGCCAAGTAACTTATCCTTTCTGAGCCTCAGTTCCCTGTTTTGTGTAATAGGAGTGACAATCTGACCCTCACAAGGTTACTGTGAAAATTTAAAAGATGATAAATACAAGGCATTTCATAAAACTACCCCAGTTTAATTACCAAGAGTGTGTTGACACACCACAGGCCTAAACATAACTGAAGAAGACACACATGTCAAACAAGCAGAGAGTCATGCAGTTTGATAAATGCAACACTGGTACCGTCATAATGACGTAAGTTAAATAATATACTGCAGATGACTGTGAGCAACAGTGCCAGTGAGAAAGAGACCGGGGGTGAGAAATGAAACATCTAAATCATATTAAGCCTATAAATGTAAGGAAGAGATAGAAATGCTTACCGTCTCCCTAACAAGAGTTTCATAGGGGCTGGTTAGCGTTTTGGAAATTAATGAAAGAAAGGATAACACAGGCACACAGACACCACATGACACTAAGTATCATTATATAAAATTAGTTGCATATAAAATGAGTGGCACATAAGCAACATATTCTTGCCCAGAGGATCCCATCATTTGGTCCAGATCTTGCAAAAATTCCCACCAAGAAAGGCTGTCCTGCAGAACAGGGCTGCCAGTATCACTACCCAGATTCAAACAACGACTCTCAGATGTTGGGACTTCCTCTGAACACACACACACTCACACGAGGGAAATGTCTAATCATGTGCAAGTCCGAAGAAGTTACGTCTTCCCATGCTGCCCCAAGAGCATCAGCAAAAGGCGTAGGAAAGAGAAAGGGACCAGAGGGGAAGGAGGCAAGGAAGCCATCTAGGAATTCTTGAAAAGTCAGATGGGCAGCTAGAGTTACCATAAGTTCATACCTTTAATTCAGGTGTTAGCATCACCGCGAGTCTTTCTTAGTCACGCTTTAACTAAAGATCAGATGGGTCCAAAGGTTGCGTGATGCCTGTGCCCGCTTCTTTCTGTGGGAGGAAATCTACATGGCGAATCATGAGCTGCTAATTTTATCTTCAGATCTGGGGTTGATGAACTGTTCCCTTTAATGAGCCGAGAGAAAGAGAAGTGCTGTGAATGGCAGTGAAATATACAGACATGGATAGGACACTGCAACAACCGTGCCCTTGCGTGTGTATCACGATATTAATTCCGCCATTATTCCTGATTGGCACTGATCCCATTACAGATCAAGAAATTCAAACTCGGATTATTATATCCACTTGCCAAAGACACGAGACAAACAAATAGTAGAACTCAAATCTCCACTCTGCTTTTTACTTCATTAAGTTGCCTCCACCTAGAAGTGTCTTGTTTCTCTACACTCTAGTTTTCACGAAAATAACAACTTTAAGCTTTACCATCTCCACGAGGCTCAGACCGATAAATGTGGCTAGAAGAAAAATTGATTAGCTCTGTGTTTGAGGACATGCACATATATACAGAAAAAGCCCTGTGTATGTGTGTGTGTGTGTGTGTATGGTTGGCACTGAGAAATAGGAGACTTCAGATGAGAGAGAAAGCTCACTAGTTAGTAAACTCTGAGTGCTCAACAGTAAGTCACCACCCCTATTACTTACTAAAGTAAATAGCCAGCCACATGCACACGCATCTGCGTGAGCACATACACGCATACACACACACACACACGACCAGGCAGTACATTTCAGCCATTTCTCAAATACATGAGTATCTGGTTTGCCAAAGATGTACTCTTTGCCTTTTTCATTTTGTCCAAAATCTCTCAAGGGATAATTTGCAGCTTGGGTAACAATATATATTTCTAGTCCAAAGCCCTTTCCTTCAGGTACCAACCTATTTGATGTGTTTGAAGCTTCCCTTTAAAGCTGGAAATTTTGACTTAACTACTTGAAAGAGACTTGAAAAGTTTAAAAAATTCAAATATCTATGAGATGGATGATTTTAGCGTTAATGTATTTCAGTAAACTTATATATGAACAACACGCAAAGCAGAACCTGTGTCCTCAGGTTAGATATGAGGGCAGTGTGAATGCTCTCAGGCCAGGAATAGGAACACTGAATCCGGTTATCATGATTTTCATCAATGATTTCTAATGAGCAGATATTTATTTTAAAATGTTCAAAACTTTTATTTCAAAAGCTAACAATGAGCACAGCTGAAGTGCCACGTCTCTGGGAAGGTTTCTGGCAATTACATCACAAATGAGGACATGGTGGAAGGTGCTGGGCTGGATAATCTGTGTATAACCACAATACCCTCTCCCTGGTGTAACCCTCCTGTGACCTGTCAACCCCTGTCACCTCGTCAGGGAGGGTCCAGCCTTTATTTGTTGCTTGTTGTCTCTGGGCTATTGATGTTTCTAGGCCTGGATCACACTGGAGAGCAGTCAATAATTCACAAACTGCAAAGCCCCAGCTCTAAACACACACACGCACTGGGGCCTTTAGGAGGTGAGGCGGCCTCTCTCTAACTTGTGTCCCGAGTTCCCAGAGGTGATGACCACACTAAAGGGCAGTGATGGCCCGCTGCAGCTCGCATCCACTTTGCCCTAAAATAGTCCTAGAGCCAGGGGTAAGTGTGCAGCAAGTGACGGGGCCTCGGCCAGGAGCTCCAGGCTGCTCTCCACTAACCCCCCGGCTTCCACATCCCAGATCCCTAAAAACATCCCACTCTCGCCGGTCTTCCCCCCACCCAGCGTTCTCACAGGCCGCAGGATTAACCTGCTAACTTAAAGTTTCCTTCAGGGTCGGGGCTTGGAGAAGACAGGGGTCCGGGGGGCTGGAGCCACATCTTGGAAGCGACACACTCCGGGGGGAGGTGGGCCGAGGCCTCGCTCGGCACCTTCCCAGGTCAGCCGCCTTAGACGCCCTCCTGCGCGGACGCTGGGCCCCCTTCAGTCACCACCCGCACCCCTGCCCCTACT